GACCATCGCTCACTCATTTGTTCCAACGCATGAGGTTATTCTAGATTACGATGATGCTTCAGACAAAACATGTTGGCCTCCCGAGAATCGCTAGATTTCGGTCCACTACACACTATTGGATGAGGTTTGGAATAGGAATGAGATGATCGTCGACAATGCATTCACGTACTCAATAGCTACTGACATCATGCTTAGCAATGACATTGAACCACATTCCGTCGATGAATGCCGACGTAAAACCGATTGGTCAAACTGGAAACAAGCAATCCAGGTAGAACTCAATTCGCTTACGAAACGGAAAATGTTTGGACCTATCATTCCTACACCACCACGTGTAAAGCCTATTGGCTACATGTGGGTTTTCGTGAGGAAGCGTAATGAGAAGAATGAAATAGTCTGATACAAAGCACGCCTCGTAGCGCAACACTTCTCTTAATGCCCTGGGATTGATTACGAGGAGACGTATTCCCCTGTAGTGGACGTTATAACATTCCACTACCTAATCAGTTTAGTAGTTTCCAAAAAACTGAATATGAAGTTTATGGACGTGGTAACCGCATATCTTTATGGGGATCTAGATACGGAAATCTATATGAAAGTTCCAGAAAGACTTCCATTGACTGGTTCCAATAGTTCTAGACCACGGAACACTCTCACAATTAGGTTGAAGAGGTCACTCTACGGATTGAAACAATCCAGGCAGATGTGGTATAACCGTCTGAGTGAATATTTAACAAGTCAGGGTTATGTGAACAAAGAATATGCCCATGCGTGTTCATAAAGAAGTCATATTCTGGATTTGCAATTGTTGTAGTTTATGTCGATAACATGAACCTCATTGGGACTCTCGCAAAGCTTGAGGAAATTGCTGCACACCTGAAATCGGAATTTGAGATGAAGGATCTTGGGAAAACTCGATACTGTCTCAGCCTGAAAATCGAGCATTGTTCGGATGGAATCCTAGTACATAAATCGAACTACACCCAAAAAGTGTTGTGTCATGTTAATGAAGATAAAGCGAAGCCTTTCAAGTACACCCATGGTTGTTCGAACTCTAGATGCTAAACGAGATCATTTCCGTCCAAAGGAGGATGAGGAAGAGATTTTGGAACTCGAAGTTCCTTACCTAAGTGCAATTGGGGCTTTATTGTACTTAGCTCAGTGCATTAAACCCAACATCTCCTTCGCTGTGAATCTATTGGCTAGATACAGTAATGCGCCCACACGCAGACACTGGAATGGTGTTAAAGACATTTTCCACTACCTCAAAGGTATTACGGATTTGGGTTTGTTCTATACCCGCGAATCTCCAAGTGTTGCCGCCTCCTATAGCTTTCATATTGATTCTCACCTTGTTGGTTACGCAGATGCTAGATATCTGTTTGACCCATATAGAGCACGTTCTCAAACGGGCTATGTCTTTACTGTTGGAGACACCGCTATATCTTGGAGGTCTACCAAGCAAACGCTAGTTGCGACTTCGTCCAACCATGTTGAGATTATCGCCCTACATGAAGCATCGCGTGAGTGTTTTTGGCTGAGAGAAGTTATGGGACATATTCAAAGCACTAATGGTCTTACATCAGTCGTTGACCTTCCTACGACAATCTTTGAAGAAATGGAGCATGTATCGAGCAGCTGAATAAGGGATATATCAAGGGAGACAACAACACCAAGCACATAGCGCCGAAGTTCTTTTACTCACACCAGCAGCAGCATCAGAACATTGAAGTCAAGCAAATCCGTTCCCAAGACAACTTGGCCGATCTCTTTACCAAGTCATTGCCCAAGTCTAAATTTCAGAAGCTCGTCCAAGGAATCGATATGCGTAAATTATCTGAGTTGAATTGCTTATAGTTCTCTTATTTAGAAGTTATGTCTAACTCGAGAAGAGTATCTTAAAGCATACTCACATAATCTTAATGTACTCTTTTTCCCTACAATTAGGAGTATTTTTCCCACTAGGTTTTTGCTACCTAACTAGGTTTTAATGAGGCACCCATCCCGGGATGATCATACTTCGTTGAGTTCACTACCTTCGTCCAGTTTGACGAGCGTTTTAGACATTATGCATATTTTCTTACTTTTCTCCTTAGTCTATGGGTTTTCCCCATTCCTTGGGTTTTACCATAGCAAGGTTTTTGTGAGTTTTTACAAATGCATACTTCAAAGTAAATTTGAGACTCGCAATCACCCATTATGCCGATGACTTCATCAACTATTCTACCTTATCTGCTAAAGATCTGATGTGATGGTTTGTTGAGTATTTACACACTCAAGGGGGAGTGTTGCAGTCATATTTAGAATAGGAATGTGATTGTGTAAATCCTAGGGAATCTGGAAAGTATTATATATTCCTATTAGGATTAGATTACCTATTAAATGTTGTAATCCTAGGGAAAGGTTTTACCTTTTCTACTACTATAAATAAAGGCACAATGGGGTGAATCAAACACACCTCACAATTAAATCAATCTCTCTTCTCCCTCAATCTTGCCGCACCCCTCTCTCTCTCTAAACCCCAAATCGTTCAATCAAATAGGCCTACAACACAAGCGATATTTATCTACACTAAGCGGATGAGTGAGGGACTGAGTTAAGCTTCAGAATGGAGTATTATTTTTTAAAATCAATGAACTTTTGAATACTTCTAGACTTTTGTAAATTTACAAAAAGTCATAATTGAATACTATGAGATTTTTATAGATTTTTTTTAATTCATAAGAAGTCTTTATTCAAGACAGAGCGACTTTTATTGACTCTATAAAATTTTATATTAACTACAATTAATTTAAGTGTCAAGCAAAATTCATCAAATATTTAATAATTTTCATAATTCCAATATGACATACACCCGTAAGTCTCCCAATTCCATCCAATAGTCAAATTTAAACTCTACATAGATTCTTCTTTTAACACGAGTAAGCTTACAATTCTCTACTTGTCTATTTTTGTATCAAAATTCACTCTCCTTTTCTTCATCGTGTCATACTCAATCGTACTTAATCATCTTTTTCAAAATTTTCTAACCCATTGATATACGTTGAAGACTAAATTTGTAGATAAATTTTTGTAAACTAAAAGATAAGGAAATTAATGATTGAATTATTATTTAAGTGTTGATAAATGTACTCATTTTCTATTGGTAACATATTATTTGATTTGCAAATTTTGTCTACAAATTAATTACTCTCCCTAGCATTATTCATATTTGAAAACATGCACCGGCAAAAAAAATATCTTAATTAAGATGACACCAATGATCCACTCAAAATATTCGACATACCAATTACCAACGGATGATAATCCACGCCACACAAGCACATTTTTTTCTTTTTCTTTGATGAAGCACACAATTGGAACACTTAGAACCAACGTTCTTGTATGGGACCTACGAATTGTAGACACTCTGATTTAAAGATACACACGCACTTAGCTATATATGATTACATATAATCATCACCAATAATAACCCAATTCAAAAGTTAAGCAAAAAAGATGCTCTCAATCAAGACTCGAGTAATTGATTTTCTCTTTACTATTGCAACGTTTCACCAATTGTTGGACAAGAAAATCCCATTACGAGATTCTTTCATTAAATATTAAATCTTGGGAAATAAATGGTCTTAATTAACTTAACCTAAATTCAAGTTAGCCAATGTCCTTGCCTATATAAACACCCCTTAATGCTTCCCATTCTCATAGCCAAATATGATCATTTCATATATGTTTCCTAAGAAGAGTGCTATTATATGCATATATGTGTAGTAGCTAGCTAGGGCATTAGGGTTTTTGGGTTTTAGGAGGGGCCCAAATGGAGCTCTCTCCACTTCAACTCTGAAAGGAAGTGATGGTAGATCACGACTGCTAGTTCATGAATACCCTTGCATGCGCATGGTAACAATGGGCATACGCATGCTAAAGGTTTGCATGAGGTGGGAGACGAAGCTACCTTGATCTTTTTGGTATTGGAGTGAAGGGAGCTCCTACTGATCTTCCTAAAAACTTTCTTCTTTCTTATTTCTAAGTTTTTGCATGTTTGTGGTTTTTATTCTCTCTTTTATTCAGCAGTAGACTTGCACTTGCCGAAAGAGCTAGCCTTCCTCTTCTGTTCCCTTCCTCCTCAGACTCATGAAAAATCGTGTTGGTGATCCAACCTAATTTATATATATATATATATATGATGAAATCAACAATGCCCGATTGTGCATTTGCATGACAATGCGCTTAATTATGTATAGAACGATTGGTTAATTTAGATTATCTGTTGTTTTTTATATATTATTGATGTAACTGGCCTGTTTTCTAGTAAACATTATTACTTGGCTGCTTGGTCAATTGGATTATAAAAGGTTGCAATTTCTTGAGGCATTGAAACTCGTATACTCGTGACACTGCAGATGTGGTTCCAGATTTGTTGGAAATCTTCGTGGCCTGCAATTTATCATGCTAAATGGGGACTCCGTCGTGGGAACAGACGCTTCTTTCTTGATTGGCAGCGGGGCCTTCTATTCACCAACGTCAGCAAAAAGTGCCCCCGAACCGTGCTGGAAGGTCACCAATCACACGGCTAGTGAACACGGAGGATAAAGTGAAACCATTTGATCCTTGCCCCATACTTAAAGCTATATGCCTTTTATATATATACTAGTTAGTGATGCCCACACGTTGCTGTGGATTTGTTAAATTGTATGGAATATTGTGTTCAAAAGATGTAAAGATGGTGTCATAAAATATTAACATTGTTTATAGCACAAACGTTTGACAATTTTTGTAGGCAAAAGGTTTAATTTATGTAATCTACATTCAAAAGATTGCAGCATTCTTGTTTGTCCACATGCAGAACATAGTACAGTCATCCATTCTGTTCTAGCAGTTACACATAGTTTCTACTGGGACCAGCATTTGGACACAAAAGGTTACAAAATGTTGATATATATATACACACAAAAATTATTACAATTATCTGGATTCAAATATTACAAAATGCCAGTGTATGTACATGCAAAAAAATACTATACAATTTTGATCAAAAAGAACTATTTACATCCTAAAAAATATTAGAAAGATTGTCCGATGTGCATTAAGAAAGGGTGGAAATTTTTTTAGCTAGAATAGCTAAAGTTTTGATGGAGCATTCTTCACCGTTAATAAAGCAACCTAAACAAAGGGAAAAGAAATTGAAACATTTAGATAGGTGTTAAATTTATGTTTCAATAAATTTACATCGGAAGAGAAAGTGATGATATTGTCACCTATTCTTTTTTGGAGGAGTGGAATCTTGGACCAACCAGTTAGAGATGATTTTCTTTTTTTTTTCTTTTTTCAACAATTTGATGGGAACTTAATCAAAGTCTTTTAGACTTGGCTCCGATATTTCTTCTATGTCACTGTTTTAAATACATGACAAATATTAGAAAAAATGAATGCATGATCGTTTAAAATTTCCATACGGGATAAAAGATAGCAAACAAACCTTTGTTCACTGCTCATAAAAAGAAGCCTCCTCCCTAATTCTCTTTTTTCATTTGTATGATCGCACGGTTATGTCTTGTGTTGATGTCGAAGATGAGGTCATGGTTGAGAACACAGTAATTTCCCTTAACCTTGTCTAAGGAGTGTAAGAATTATTGTGAGTATCAATAACTTTGTCAATTGCATCGCTTGATTCGAGTGATCTGGCAACCCTAATATGGCTAGAATAATAGAGTCTTAACTTTGATTGACCACTTGCGTAATCCCTATTTGGTAAGACTTATTATGGTGGGATATAAATATATATAATTGTGATAATGGTATTTCTCATTTAATAATAGGCTTAATTGAGAGATATACTAGCAACTATATAAGGATTGTCCCTGTTCTCACAATAATTGTTCTATTATGAGCTAAAACCTATTCATAGTAAGAACATATAGTTTGGAGAGAGTAAAAGACATTCTTATGCATATGCCAATTTTGTTGTCATTCGGCAGAGTCATGTCTTCCTTAATCTACAGATATGTTCAATATAATTAGTTTATCTCTATTTTATATTGATTCGATTCACTATATTCATGATCCTAATGTCTTGTTGTTGTGATTTCAGAATATGTCGTACATGGAGTTGTTGGTTCCATACTTGTATCTTCAAAGACATTGTAAATGAGAACATCAATTGAATTAAAGTTGTTTCTTTTATTCCCAAAATGCAGGTGAAAAAATTTCTTCTGCCCTATCAACACTACTACAAAAGTACCCAGTAGTGTCGTTTAAAAAACAACAAGAAAAGCCCATTTCTGTCGGATATTAGAACAAATCCGATAGAAATTCATGCATTGGCCGATAAAAGAACCCACAGAATTGCTAGCGTCATGAAAAGGCTTTTTCTGTCGGTTAGTTCCCTTAATCATCCAAGAAAAAAAGAAAGCGTTTTAAAATTAAAAAAAGGGCAGTAGTGTCAGATAAAAGTACATTAGCGTTGGATAGAAGTGACATTGAAACTCTCGTCGGATACAGGTGACATTAAATACTGAGAAAGAATGTCGGATATAGCAGCTTTGTGTCGCCCCTAACCAACACAACTAACCATTAATATATATATATATATATATATATATATATGTTTTTGGATAAATAAAATAAACAACTATACTGTCGCCCATAACCGACACCACTAACCATTAAAAATAAAAATAATAATAATAATGTATAACCATTAATAAAAGATAAGAAACTTCTTGACCCAAAAAAAAAAAAGATAAGAAACTTCAAATTTCTCCCGTGTACTACATGTATCATCTAAACATTCAACATCTTAATAGTCACTCAAACAGAACCAAATTATTCCTCTTCAACACAAATGAAAACTCATACCTTTTTTTTTAATCAAACATTCAGACTTCAAAACTAAAAAATGCAATAGAATTAGTGGGGGAGTCAAACCTGTTGTCGCCTCTCTCGGACTGAACTTTACGAAGTAGCGTGGTGGCCTAATCGGCGAACATGGGGCCGACAATGACGTGAATCTCACTGAACTTCAAATTTCTCCCGTATTCTACAGATATCATCCAAACATTCAACATCTTACTAGTCACTCAAACAGTCAACCAAATTATTCCTCTTCAGCACAAATGAAAATTCATACCTTTTTTTTTTTTTTATCAAACATTCATACTTCAAAACTAAAAAGTGCAACAAAATAAAAGGGGGAGTCAAATCTATCGTCACCTCTCTTAGATTGAACTTTACGAAGTAGCATGGTGGCCTTGCCGGCGAACATGGGGCCGACGATGACGTGAATCTCACGAGTGAGCACTCGTGAGATTCCGCCTTCATTTGTACACATTGGATGATCTAAGCTGAAAAAATGGATCTTTTGGGGAGAAAAATATTGGATTTCAGGAGGAGAAGATTGGGTTTTTGGAAAACGGTTGGAAGGCTGAAGGAGAAGGACTTAGAGAAGGAGGATGAAGAAGTTAAAGATAAAAATGCGAAAGGTGTGGTGAATGATGCTGGAAGGAGAAGAACATGAGAAGAAAATGATAAGAAATGGGGAGAAGGAGAAAGAAAGAAGAACTGAAGAAAAATAAGCAGGGGAAGAAGGAAATAGGGAGGGATAAGGGGCTCACGAAGGAAATAGGGGAAGAGAAATGTTTTATTAGGGTGAAAACCTAGCATCGATTAAAACTACTGAAAATGTGACTTTACCCCTTCAAACTCAATTTTTTTTACATAAAACCCACAATAATATATTCTTCTAACAAAAACCCAATGACTAGGCTCCACCTAAGCAAATTACCTAATCGAGATTGTGCGTCATATTTAATATTATTTGGATTCCCCAAATTACCCTCAGTTAAGTCATTGTAGCAGTTTATGTTGATATCAAAAGTAAAATGGAAAGCTTTTTTAATTTTCCTGTAACGTGTGTAATGGCTTTGAAATTTTAGTTGACGTAGGAATAAAAATTCAAAACGTTTTGAATTCAACAATAAATTTTCAGATTAATGTACCCTATTGCGATTTAATAAAAACCATGCTTTTTGTTTTCTTTAAAACAAAAGGGGTAAAAAATGATGTGTCTAGTATGTTTTGTTTTACTTTTCGAACATCAATGTACCTATTTTTTTTTTGTATTGAAAAGATTAGTGTACCTACTTAGTACTAATAGTTTTGGTCATTTTGAAAAATAATGCACCTGTTATTAAATTTTTGAATCTGGAAAATATAGGTAAATTAATTTATGTAGGTAAATTAGTATTATATTTCATACATGTTTATCATGGATCTTGAGTGACACACCCCGACCAAGATCAGGGCGTGCTGGCCGTCACACGAAGGTGACGTAACCATGTGCACGTGCGGAAGCTAATGAGATAGTAATGTAAAAGTACGAATAATTTAAAAGCTAGCATACAAAGTACTAAGACAAGTGCTAGCGTAAGTGAAACGCTAAATTCAGAGCAAGACTACAGCAGTCCAAAGAGAATGATACGACAATAGTACACCCGAGGGTGACCCTACATCGGTGAGTGTCTGTCAGAAATGCCGGGACGTCCTCTGGGAAAACCACCGAACCCGCTAAGCTACTAGAACCTGGAGGGGCGAAAAACAAAAGCGTGAGTGGGCAAAAACAAAGCTCTTTGAAAACCGTTTAGCAAAATACATTCTAACCCCTCACCGTAAAACCTGTATACTTCCTAGAAAATAAACATATATACGTAGGTATAAATTTGCCAAATATGCTCAAGGTAGGCCGTCATGCTCAAAGCCTCATAATAATATGCAAGTGCTCAGGTATAAACCGTGTCAATAACTTATCACCTCAATAGCCTAACATCTGGCAGCCGGAGTCACTTAACGTGACCTGTACGGCTGCATATAGAGCTCCAATCTCAAGCTCAATAACTGAACAACTGAACCTGCCCACGTGTCGGAACCACCTAAAGTGGTCTGTACGACAGGCCTGGGTGTGACGTTTATATATACGCTCTAGTGCTACGATCACGTGAAGGCTGGGCGAATAATCGCGGGTCACCTACGAGTCGGAACCACCTAATGTGGTCTGTACGACAGGACTGTGCACCTAGCTTGGATCTAAGCTGAGCATGAGGTGCGGGAGGTGAACATCACGTGAAGGACTGGGCCCTGCTCAGGGCGGGAGCACTAACACCGGGGGTGCAGGTTATGAGCTCGCTAAGCATCTCAAACTACTGCTGAATGTAAATATGAAATACCTTTACCTGGCTCTTACCTGTACATCCACAGCACCCAATACGCATATATATATATGTATGCCAACACTAATGCATGTGATGATGCATAAACGACAAACATATGGTGCATGGCATGAAACAAATAACCCTTTTTATTTAATTTCTGGGAATATAAATGTATATAGGTATATACGGAAAACCAAAAGCCCACTCACTGATAAGTGGAAGGGTCGTAGCCCCCCTGCCTCGAGTGACCACGCTCTTCCTCGGGATACGTATCACCTATACGCGAAAGAACTACAAAAACGTTAATTTAAAAGCACATAACCAACTTCTCGTAATAACTTCTCATACATTGCTCAAAATGGACAAATGAATATACCAATGTGCTCTACACAACCTCAGGATCACAACCATATTTTTAAAATAATTTTTGGACCACTCACGTGCCCCCACGCGCCAGAATAGGCACGGACCTACGCGTCCCCCACGCGCGGCCACGTGCCATGCACACTGACGGCGTCAACTGACGCCGTTAGGAATATTCCGTCAGTTTTGATAGATTCCGTTAACGGCGTCAGGAATATTCCGTCAGTTTTCTGACGGAATATTCCGTCACCTTCTCCAGCGAGACTCCGGCGCCGTCGCCGGAAAACTGGAAAATTTTCAAACTTCGATATCTCACTCGTTTTTCAACCATTTTTCACGATCTTTATACCAAAATGAAGCTTAGGACTAGTAGAATCACGATAGACCACTTTTAAGCCCTAAAAAACATGGAATCTTACCTGCAACAACGATCTAAGTTCGGCCAACTTCGAACCAAGCTTTCCCGACGTCCAAATTTGTCCAACGAAGCACTCCCAAGCTCCTTGGGACCTCACCAACACATCTACAAGCTTAAAAAGTCCAAAAACATGCTAAATTAAGTTTGCATGAATAGTACTCAAATCGGCCATCGTCGAATCGACGTGAAAACTAATGATTTCTCACCTGAAAATAGTATGGTCGTGCTCCTCTCAACCTCACGAGTTCAATGGTGTAGTTGGTTCCCTCGATCTATGATGGTTTGGGTGAGTTTGTTGTTTGTCCGTATAAGTTTGAAGAAAGAAGAAGAAAGAATGGAGCTCAGGAGAGAGAGAGAGAGAGAGACAGTGAAGAGACAGAGGGAGAGGGAATCACGGGAGAGAATGAGAGTGTGTGTGTGTGTGTGACCCTACCATTGCCAACACCACACAAAACACACTAAACGTAAATGTAACGAACTAGGGGTAAAAAGGTCAATTTACACGTACGTTTTTATAATCTCGGGACGGGATGTCACAACCTACCCACCTTAATAGAATTTCGTCCCGAAATTCAAAACAACCAAATATAACCCCTAGTGATCAAAGAACAATCTAGGATACATGTCCCTCATCCGATCTTCTGTCTCCCATGTAGCTTCTTCGACTGAATGATTTCTCCACAAAACTTTCACTAAGCTCACCGTCTTGTTCCTTAGAACCTTCTCTTTCCAATCTAAGATCGTTAACGGTTCCTCGTCATATGTCAAATCTAGATTAATCTCTAACGGTTGATGAGGTATCACATGCGACGGATCAGCAACATAATGTCGGAGCATAGACACGTGAAAAACGTTATGCACTCTAGCCAACTCTGGAGGCAACTCCAACCTGTAAGCTACCTCACCAACTCGTTTTGTGACCATCTATGGTCCGATGTACCGGGGACTCAACTTCCCCTTCTTCCCAAACCGCACGACACCTTTCCACGGTGAAAGCTTCAGAAATACCCAATCTCCGACCTTATACACTCTGTCCGTAGCATGTCGATCTGCTAAACTTTTCTGCCTGTCCTGAGCTGCTTTCAAGTTAGACCTAATTACCTGAACATTCTGAGTAGTCTCCTCGACAATCTCCGGACCCACTAAGACTCTTTCTCCAACCTCAGACCAACACAACGGTGTGCGACAAGCTCTGCCATACAAGGCCTCAAATGGTGCCATGCCAATGCTCGAATGAAAACTGTTGTTGTAAGCAAATTCCATCAAATCTAACCGCTGGTGCCAAGCATCACTGAACTGTAACACCGAAGCTCGCAGCATATCTTCCAAGGTCTGAATAGTTCTTTCTGACTGTCCGTCTGTCTGTGGATGATATGCCGTACTGTAAAGTAGTCTCGTACCCAAAGCTTCCTGAAAAGCTACCCAAAACTTCGATGTGAATCGTGGGTCACGATTCGAGACAATACTCACAGGGACACCATGATACTTCACAACCTTCGAGATAAACAACTCCGCTAACCGGCTTAAAGAATATTTCTCTCTCACTGGAATAAAATGTGCAGATTTAGTGAGCCGATCAACGATCACCCAGATGCCGTCAAAGCCATTATGTGTACGCGGGAGCTTGTACACAAAATCCATAGTAATATTTTCCCATTTCCACTCTGGAACGGGAAGCGGCTGCAACAACCCAAACGGCTTCTTCCTTTCTACCTTAACCTACTGACAAACAGCACACTTACTCACATACTCAGCTATCTCCCTTTTCATACCCGGCCAATAATAAAATGGTCGAATGGTATGATACATTTTAGTAGCTCCTGGATGCATGGCGTAAGCCGAGATATGTGCTTCATCAAGAATTTCCTTCTTCAAATCTCCAATATTAGGTACAAACATTCTACCTTCTTGCATTAACATGCCATCCGATTCACGCACTCTGAGGTCTCTCCTCCTTCCTTGCTCTCGAGCTTGGACTAGTTCTTGAGTCTGCTCATCAGCCACTTGAGCTGCAAGTACCCGATCAACTAAGATGGGCCTAACTTGAAAATTAGCAAGTAACGCCACATCTCGATCTTCTGCTTCTAACCTCACTCCCATAGCACGCAAGTCCGCCAAAAGAGGAATGCGACTAGCGTACAATGCATTAATACGGCCCTGTGACTTCCTGCTAAGTGCATCAGCCACTACGTTCGCACGGCCAGGGTGGTAGTCAATTGTGCAATCGTAATCGCTAAGCAACTCCAACCACCTACGTTGACGAAGATTAAGTTCCTTCTGAGTAAAGAGATACTGAAGACTCTTGTGACCTGTGAAGATCCTACACTTCTCCCTGTAAAGGTAGTGTCTCCACAACTTCAACGCAAAGATAATAGCAGCCAACTCCAAATCATGTGTAGGGTAATTCATCTCATGGGATTTCAACTGCCGCGAAGCATAAGCAATCACCCTACCTTGCTGCATTAATAAACATCCCAGACCATTCAAGGAAGCATCGCTATAAACCTCGAAATCACCACTATCGTCCGGGAGTGCCAAAACAGGTGCATGAGCGAGACAATGCTTCAACTGCTGGAAACTCTGCTCACACTTATCATC